TTCAGGTTGAGCTGGGAGCCAGAGGAGAAGAGCTCAGGAAGAGCTCAGCCCTCCGTGCACCAGGGGTGACTCTGTCCTTGTCATTGTCTGGTGCCTTTTTTGGGGCCCAGGGAATGGGGTGGGAGCTCAGCCTGGCTGCAGCCTCCTCCTGCTCCTGCTCCCTGCCTTCCCCTTCTCCAGGGCTGGGGAGAGAAGGGGGGGATCAAGAGATGGGGATCAAGAGATGGGGACCAAGAGATGGGGATCAAGAGAAGGGAGTGGAGAGAAGAGGACCAAGACACAGGGACCAAGAGATGGGAATGACCTGACAGGGATAAAAACACAGGGACCAAGAGATGGGACCAAGACCCAGAGTGCAAGGCTTCAGGAGCAGCAGACAGGAGGGTGTCCTGTCCCATCACACACTCTGTCTTCCTGCCACTCAGAGCACAAAGTACTGGGGAGGATTCGTGCACCTGTCCTGCTAAAAGTCCTTTCTAAACGTGTCACAGGGGTTTAGGATCCATAATTTTTGACAAACAGACATGAAATCCTCTTTGTACAGAAAACAGAGGCAAGTGAGAGCTGTTGCTCCCCTGTCCCAGCTTCCCAGGCTCTGTTTTTAAACGTTTTTGGGGAGGGATTTGCAGTAATTTACTGCAAAGTGAATTTTTTTCCCCCTTCCAGTAAAAAATGCAAAAAGGTCAAGGATAATGAAAAAGCAGTGAATTTGAAATCCTGTGGAAGAACAACTCAGCGCTTTTAGCAGCTCACTTAAAGGAGAAGCAGTTCCTTTAAGGTCTGAAAGCTTCCCCAGCCTAATGAGCCGTGTTGCCTCCTGCAGAGCCCAGACTCCAGCGAGGACCAGGCTCCTGAGTGGGGCTGAGCACTGTGTCCTGAAGGGACACATCACAAATGCTCAGCACCTCCCAGATGCTGCCCTCCCAGCCAGAATTACCACCCTCCCCAGAGGAAAGGCTGTTTTATAGGAAAAAAGCCATAAAACAGAGGGAGGGGAGCGTGGCCCTGCCATCCCACCCACTGGAAAACGAGGCTGCTGCTGCTGCTCTGGCTCGGCTCGCAGGGTTGTTCTCTCTCAGGGCTCACATTGAAGTCGCTGTCGTGGGGGTTAATGGGACCAGTGTGCCTCTGGCTGATGGGGCTGCACAGAATTCACAGCTGGGCCTGGCTTGGGCTGAGAAACCCCAAAGGGAGAGAACAGCTTTTCCCTCTGGATAGAGGAATAAAGATCATCACTGCAGGCAGTTCGTGAGCTGGCAGCTGGGAGAGCGTGGGGACAGCGAGTGTTCCAGCACCTGGCTGATGAGGGGAGCTCCTGTGGCTGGAGCAGCACCCCGCTGTCCCCTCCCTGTCCTTAGGTCTGGGCTGCTGCAGAGGGGACATTTGTGGTGCTGCTGTCCCCTCCCTGGTTCAGGCTGCTGCAGAGGGACATTTGTGGTGCTGCTGTCCCCTCCTTGCTCTGGGCTGCTGCAGAGGGGACATTTCGGGTGCTGCTGACCCCTCCCTGGGTCAGCCTGCTGCAGAGGGACATTTCGGGTACTGCTGTCCCCTCCCTGGTTCCGGCTGCTGCAGAGGGACATTTCGGGTACTGCTGTCCCCTCCCTGGTTCCGGCTGCTGCAGAGGGACATTTCGGGTACTGCTGTCCCCTCCCTGGTTCCGGCTGCTGCAGAGGGACATTTCGGGTACTGCTGTCCCCTCCCTGGTTCCGGCTGCTGCAGAGGGACATTTCGGGTACTGCTGTCCCCTCCCTGGTTCCGCCTGCTGCAGAGGGGACATTTCGGGTGCTGCAGGTGGCCCTGCTGTCCCTGTGCCGGGGCTGTGGCACTGCCAGGGAGCGAGGGGTCACTTTGGGCTGGGCTGCTTTCCACTGCTGCTCCTGGGAGGGTTCAGAGCTCCCTGTGGGAGAGCCCAGGCCCTGCTGTGCCGGAGCCAAGGTGCCTGTCACACTCCTCCCATCTCCAGGATGGCTGTGGAATCAATTCCAGCAAACCCTCGGGGATAACTGTGGCAGTGGGGAGTGATGGAGCCAGCACTGGGGACTGACCTGCACCCCCTGGTCCCCAGGCAGAGACCCCAGAGCCTCTCCCAGCCCATCCCAGCCAAGGGCAGAGCAGCTGGGGCGGGTGGGAACTGCTCCTCCCTCATCCCATAATGCGGAATTTCATCCTGCCCACCGACGGGAGCGCTTCTTTACGCCCTAAAATATGAATGACTGAAAACTAAGCTTATGAGAGGTGGCAAACATGCTGATCTCTGCATTTTTTAACATGAGAATTTTCTAATAAAAAGGAACCTTGGAGCTCTTCATGAATTAGGCATCAGGAGCCGGAACAAACAGCTCTGAAGTAAAGCCCTTGCTCACACAGAACTCCGAGAGCAGGATTTGCTGAGAATCCCTTCCCCATCAGCCCGAGACCTCTGTGCCCCTGCCTTGCCCTGGCTGTTTCCAGGTAGATTATGGACTTTCCTGACTGCAGAATAAATCCCTGCCCTCAGAGCTCCGTGAGGAACACAAAGCAGGACAGAACCCCAGCACAGCACAGCACAGCCAGTGTCCCTGCCCCTCCCTGCCTGGCCAAATTCAGAGCCAGTTCCTCCCTGCCCTGCCAGCACTCACTGCTCTGCTCTCAGTGCCCAGGCTGAATGGAGAATTTGTAATTCCCATTTTCGGAATTGCCTTGTTTTGTCAACATTTCCTCGTTTCACAGGATGCTGTGTTGCCATGGCAGGAGGGGGTGGGGAGGTGGCCCCATTCCCACAGCCCTGTGGGACTGGGAGACCCCCAGAGCCCCCACTCTGTCCCAGCTCCGAGGGATTTGGGTGTGCAGGGGGACATGGAAAAGGATGTGGCAGATTTTGGTGGCACCACAGCACTGCCAGCCCCACAGCAAATCCCACCCTGCCAGTGCTGGAGTGCCAGGCTCAGCTTCATCTTCTCCCTACTCCTCCTCACACATGGCAGTCCATGCAAGGATTTTAGAATTATTGAAGATTCTTTTAAAATAAATGCTTTCCCTCCCCACCCCCCCCTTTTTTTTTTCCTCCACAGAAACAACCCCCTCCATGGCAGCTGTGAAATATGGATTATTTACCTCCAGACTGGACACGAGGCAGATCCAGCCTCAGAAGTAAATGCATATTTAGTCTTTAAGGCATATTTATCCATGTAAATACATATTTTGGTATACACATTCTTCATAACACAGTTCTGTGGACTCAGTGGAGGTTTTGGTAGCAGAACATTTGCCATTGTCTATTTCGAACACTTGCTCAGAAAATGTGCAAAAAAAGCAGCTGTCACTGGGATGGGTTTAACACTCCTGGATCTTAAAAACAGCATCGGCTCTAAAAAAAACCCTATTGAAAAGTTTAAAAAAAGCTGTCTGGCTCTGAAGGATCCTGCCAAGCTACAAACCCTCGAGAAGCTGCATTTATTCCCGAGTTGTGAGACATCCCTCTGCAGTGTCACCGCTCCCTGGGGACACAGCCCTGAGCCACTGCCCAGGGAGGCCCTCCCAGCCCGGGGGCTCCAGCCTGGAGAACGATCCCGATGGAAATACTCAGCTGAAGCCTCTGCTGTCACCTTGGGAAGGTGGCAATGACAGAGTCGGGCTGGCTCAGGGTGGCTCAGAGCTCCGAGGAAGCACAGAACCAACCTTCAAACTGCTGCCCAAAGTGCACCCCACGGAGCACAGGCACCGGGGGGTGTCCCCCATCCCCACCCACCCTCCCACCCTGCAGTCCCTGTGGTCACTCTGCTCCTGGGAGCCTGTCCCAGCTCAGTGCACGGAGCGCCAGGAGCTCCCCCTGTCCCACCCAGAGCCTGCCCCTGCCCCTCACACAGCCCCAGCACGCTCCTGCCCCCAGAAACACCCCTGGCACCCACACAGCTCCCACTTCTGCTGCTGCTGTGGCTGGGCTGTTTCTCTCTGGCCTGGACAGGAAGGATGTCCCCTCCCAGTGAAAATCAGCCGTGGGACAGGACACCCCGTCCGTGTCGCCCTGGTGCGAATGCAAACGTTCAACACTTCGCTGGATATTCTTGTTTTCATATTTAATAAAGCTGCTGTTCATTCTATTCTGTTGCTGGACAGATCAGGTTCCAAATATCAGGAATCACTGGAATGCAATGTATCATTGGAATGCAGGATTGATCCAGCCACAGTATAGAACCCTCTCCCAGTTTTACACATACGGGTTGGGTTATCCATATCCTTATTTTTCCCTTCATAAGACTGCACTGACACAAGACTTCCTGCAGCACCACTGTTTCTAGTGAATGGATTCTGAAATAGAGCACTTTAAAGCTGCAATACAAGAGAGATGGGGACATCAGGACTGATAAACTCATTTGAGTTGAGTTTGTACCCTTTCCTCGCAGAAAGGCTTCGCTCATGTTATTCCAGGTTTTAAAAAATGCCACTTTTCTGAAGACAGCAACTGCTTGGCACACAGCTGTAAATAATAAGAGAAATAATACAGTCTGTCACTGAACACATGCAGAGTGACCCAGGATGTTTTATTGCCGTTTCTTGGCGTGACCATCTCTGCTCCATCATCCCTTTCTCAGCAGGGACAGCAGAGGCACCGCACGTTCTGGCTGCACACTGGCCTGGGACACCTCAGGCTGAGCCCAGGAAACTCAGAGTTCTCCTTGTTGAAAAAATGGGATCTTGGGACTGCTGAGTATTCCCAGTGCTCAGCTGGGGCTGCTCACTGCCAAAACCTGCCGTGAGGAGACAAAACGGGGGGCTGGGAGAATTGTGTCACCTACTGGAGCTCAAACACGGAACCTGGGAGTGATCACAGTGGAAGTGCTGCTGTCCCACCCAAGGCCAGGCTGGACAGGGCTTGGAGCAGCCTGGGAGAGTGGAAGTGTCCCTGTCGCTGTCCCTGTCCCTGTCCCTGTCCCTGTCCCTGTCCCTGTCCCTGTCCCTGTCCCTGTCCCTGTCCCTGTCCCTGTCCCTGTCCCTGTCCCTGTCCCTGTCCCTGTCCCTGTCCCTGTCCCTGTCAGGGGTGGGATGGGATGGGCTTTGAGGCCCCTCCAACCCAACCCAGCCTGGGGTTTGTGAGAATTTTGCTGTTCCTGCTGCCAGCAGTTGTTGGTGAGCAAGGCAGGAGCTCTTGGGGCCACCAGGGGATCTGGTGCCCGAGGGCTGCTGGCCACGGCCACCCCGGAGAGTCCCACAGGTGGCAGCTCTCAGGTGGGGCGAGCTGTGAGCAGCACTCCACAGCAGCACCACCAGGGATTTCAGGATTCAGGTACACGCCAGGCTGAGCTGGTCCTTCAGCAGGTGACAGCAGTGTCCCCTCGAGCTGCACACGGTGCTGGGGAGGCTGGCAGGGGCAGCCCTGCCCGGGCACGAGGGGACTCTCCCGAGGACGTGGCCTCGCTGCCACAGGGATATGTGGAGATAGAAAATCCTGCTTGATACTCCAGGGATTTGCAGGTGTCTCATGGTTCAAAGCATCCTTTATCATTGCTAAATCAGCCAAACCAGTACAAAATTGAGTGCAAGAAAAATACCAATTCACATTGGCTTTGCCAGTAATACAAAAGGGACGATCCTGACCTTTACAGCCAGGTGGGAATTTGGCATTAGGGGAACATTCTGACATTCCAAAGGTGCCACAGAGGAATTGGAGCTCTGTTTTCTAACGGGAAATGTCGTTTTTACAGTGGTCAGAGGTGCTGGAGGGAGGAAGGGGTTGGTGCCAGCCTTGAGCTACGCCCTGCCCCTGTGGGAGAGGAGCTTTCCTCAGAGCCCACAGCACCTCTGTCCTCACCCAGGGATTTCCTATGCTCAAAAGGATGCTTCAGCATTTCCCAAAACACATTCCAGACTGCTTGGAGAGGAAGAGGAAAGTGGTGTTTCATGAAGGCACAACCATGCTGACTTGGCAGGAAAGAGGGAAGAGAACAGAAGCAGTACTGCGCAATGCAGTTATAGTACAAGGCTCATTCTTGAAACCTGAATATCATGCTAGAAGAAAATCTAGATATGTGTAATATTTTGAGGAAATATTTTGAAGGCAATGTTATTTGATTTTTTTTTTTTTTTTACTCAAAAAAGAACAAATGTTTTTGTGTAAGTTTGGATAGAATGCTAGTTGAGAAGGGAACTGAATGTTTGTATTGCAGCCTTAAAGAAGCACATTTTTACTGCAATATCCTTTTTTTTTTTTCTGTAAACTACAGTCTGCGACTCAGCAGACCATGACTGAATGCTTCTGAAAACTTGTCGATTACAAACATGAAATCACAATTAATATCCTCTAAAAGTAATTTCAGAGTTCTCACGTCTTAAAAAAGGACAATGTGTACTGCTCCACAAGGTAATGCAGCTAATCAATAAAAAGGAGTCGAATTAAAGTATTTACATAATGAGCAATTCTACAGAAGGCGATCATCCCCATGTAAGCACTGATTATATCCCACGCTGCTTTTAACAAACTCTACCAGATTGGATCCAGTCATCAGCACTTTCAGAGAATCCTTTAAAGCCTTTTATGGGTCTTTACATTTAGTGCAGAAGGATGTTCTTCAGGTAGAATATGCTGCTGAGGGAGGACAGCGTCAACACCAGGGACCAGCAGGAGAACAGCACCTCGGCGTGCCCGGTGATCCCGTACTGGGCTGTGCTGGGAGCTGCAAGACAAGGACACGGGGTCAGTGACAGTTCCCACTCTCAGCCCCTCACATCCATATTTTCCATGGATTATTCTCAGCTGCCTCTCCGGGCAGCAGAAGAATTCCTGTGGACAGCAGAGAAAAGGCTGTGAGCGCAGCCCGGCCCTGCTGCCTCCCCGCCCAGGGAAGAGCCCCGCTTGCTCCAGGAGGAGGAATCGGTTTTAAGGCAAGCACTTGAAAATGGGAGTGCTTCATTTTAAACCAGCTGAGTAATTGATCCATTTTGAAGTTGCTGAGCATTAAGATCTGCAGTGCAATCAATGAGAGGGGACTGGATTAAGCTCTGGTGGAAAACAGCTCATTTTCTGCCCGGCTCCAGACGCCGGAGTTTGACAATTGCGCCCAGCTAAAGACACTAATACTTATTTTGAAGAAATTGTATTTATTTGTTTACCACAAAGCCTCTCTCAGATTCCTGGGTAAATGCACACAAAGAGGGGAAATACAAGAATTCAGCGTTGAGGAGCAAGGGAGGAGCTCGTCCCTGGGGCAGGAATGTCCCAGCTGTGCCTCAGGGATGGACCTGGCAGGAACCTCGTCCCTGACAGGACCAGGGAACAGCCTTAAGCTGGATGAGTGTTGATTTAGATGGGATCTTGGGCAGGAATTGTTCCCTGGCAGGGTGGGCAGGCCCTGGAAGAGAATTCCCAGAGCAGCTGGGGCTGTCCCTGGATCCCTGGCAGTGCCCAAGGCCAGGCTGGATGGGTTTGGAGCAGCCTGGGACAGTGGGAGCTGTCCCTGCCATGGCTGGGGTGGCTCTGGGTGGGATTTGAGGTCCTCTCCAACCCAAAGCATTCCAGGATTCTGTGAACCCATGGGTTTGCTCCTGGGAAGCCACAGGCAGGAGCACAAGGAGCTGTTCCCTCACCCTGCACCAAATCCCTCTTGCTTTCACAGGACGCATCCTCCCCACCCCAGACTTGTCCAGCCCAAATCCCGGAACACAAAACCCTTTGGTTTCTGTACAGAACCCCAGGGCTCCATTTTTAGTGTGTGACATTTTATTTGGCACAGAGAATGTGACACAACCCGAAATCCTCTGCTTTCCCCCCGTGCAGAAAGGTTCAGGTAATAAACCCAAAACAAAACAAGATTAAACTTGGTTTTGAAGCTTAGTTTAGCGACTGATGGCTGTGACTAACTGCAGGCCAGGGCACCTGCTCTCCTCTCATTAAAAAGAGACTTTCTGTGCTAAGTCAGGATGACAAATCAACCTTTAATTTATTACAAGGGCCAGGCGAGGAAGCTGAAGCATAACACAGGTGCTATTTCATTTTATGGTACAAAAAGAGTTTCCCCAACTTAAAGATAATTTGAGCTACGGTGGCTATAAAAGCGAGCAGAAAATTATGTAAATCTGATTTCCTGCATATGAACCAGCTCTGTCTTTCCAAGGCTTATTAAATCATACCTGGATTGTTTCTGCACAAAGGCAAGAGGCGAGTTAATGGGGGGAAAATGCACTGACTTGGGGAGATAATAGAAAAGAGTTACAGTTCCCAAAGCTGCCTAAGCAGGAGAATTGGACAGGAAAGAAACCTGAAGGAGAAGCTTAATTATCAATTATGATGTCACACGAGGCCCAGTGGATGACACAGAGCTTAAAGTATTGGGCTAGACCCTTAAAAATTCTTAAAAATTAATAATCTCCTGCAGGCTTTTTCTCTTTCCTCCTCAGAATTTTAATTAACTTTTCCTGTGGCTCCTTGAATTCTTTGCTGGCCAAGCAAAACGCTGTTGCTGGATATTAATAAAATTCTGCAGATTTGTTTTGGGATATAAACTTTAAAAATAAACACACCTTTAAAATTTAAAGACTCTGAGCACGAGCTGCTCAGTCCTTGATCTACTCTGAGGAATTGTTTTGGTAAGGACCGAGCAGTCCTTGCTTTCCTGAGCATTTGCTGCCACGCAAGGGCACTTTGTTCTTGGGCTTGGTGCTTTTCAAAGCATTTTGTGATGGTTCTGTGTGTCAGACTAAGCCCTCAGTTCAGGGAAAATGAAAAGGTTTAAATGTTTGAGAGCAGCACAAACCCAGCTGCCTTTTTTCCCCCCACTGAAATATTACCATGTCATTGTTTCACACACACACACACACGAGCTCCCAGTCTTAATATTTATGCAGGGAGTTAATGGTGGAGGAATGTGTGATTAGGCTTTAAATAAAAGCTGGAATTATTGGAGTCTGTGATTACACCTGCAGCCATCCTGGGCATTTCCACAGCCCCCATCCCCAGCACTACACAGAGCTGATGTTACAGAGGGTTTGGCAGAGCTCTGGGTGCCCCGAGAGGGGAAGGAGAGCTGTGTCAAGGTTGGACACAGGAATTTCTCCATGGAAAGGGCTGCCCAGGGAGGTTTGGATTCCCCAGCCCCGGGGGGATTTCAAAGCCCTGTGGATGTGGCACTTGGGGACACGGGGCAGGGTGGCCCTGGCAGTGCTGGGGATGGCTGGGCTCCACGGTCTGGGAGGGCTTTTCCAACCTGAATGGTTCCATGATTTTATGATCTGGTGCTGCAGATTCATTTCAGAGCCCTGGGAGTTATACCTTGAAGTGCCTTAAAAGAAAGTGAATTTCCACCTAGAAAAAGGTTAAAATGAGCTCCTGAACAGCCTGATGTCTGAAACATCAAATGACCCAGCATTTAGAAGACACAGGGAGTTTAAAATGTCAGCTGCAGCCACTGAGGGGTAATAATTTACTTTCCTGCCACCGGGTAAATCAGCATTTCCTTAGAGCCAGAGGCTGCATCCCTGGGGGTAAGGGAGGGACACACACAGAGCATCACCAGGGGCTGGGAAGGGCCTGATGGACTCCCCCAGCACCTGGCCTTGGGAACTCAGGTTGGAGAGGACCTTAAACACCCCCTGAGGGAGCAGAAATCCCTGCCCAGGCCATGCCAGGCACACCTCGGGTGCCCACGTGCCTCTGTAAACTCTCCTTTCCTCCAATGCAGGGATTATTGTGCCTAATCCTAATGTTTTACACCAGCCAGCACTTGTGGAAATATTTAAGACACCCTTAGCACAGATAGGATTATATTCAGACATCTCTCCTGGTGCTGAATAGAAAGGAACAAAGTAATATTGTATCAGTATCTCTAATTAATACAAGAGATTAGGAGAAGTGCTATGCTGGAACACACAAACCAGCATTTCCTAGCACCGAGGGCTGCATTAACCAGAAATAATTATAAGCTTTAATGCTGATGCTGTGTAGACAAAAGCACAGACCCCTCTAGGTTGTCTGAATAAGCAAGACTAATTCTGTTAAATGGATTATGCAGGGAGATGTTAATAAGCATTTCATTTAACTATATTCAGGTTAATCATTTACTAAAGGAAAGCCTTAATAAATTGGATTTTTTTGGTACAACATTTAAAATATACAGAGAAGGAAGGAATAAACTAACTCAAGGTCAAAGCGGTAAGGCAAAAAAAAAAAAAAGGATGAAAAAGGCTAGGCTGTCAAATAACGTTCTTTTAAAAGAAAAGATGGGAAGATAATGGGCCTCAGAAGGCTCAGGCCAGGCCCAGGGATAACATCTCTACATTTTGTTCCACTGGAAGCCGGTGCAGGATTTATGGCTGTGGAGGAGAAGGTCGACAGTCTATAAAAGACTCAGGGAGCAGCAGTGGTGATGGGCAGGGAATGCCTCCAGAACCAGCTCCAGAGGGAAGAGGCAGGAGGAGAAGCAGAGGGAAGGATTGGGGAAAGCTTGACCTTGGGAGAACAAACAAAACCTCCAAGTGTTGTCTGAAAAGGAATCAGCGAGGATGGATTTGTTGAGCCGTATGCAAATGCAATCATGCTGGAAATGCAGGAAATGCAGGAGATGCAGGAAATGCAGGGAATGCAGGAGCATTAAACAGAGCAGCCCTGCTGCAGGCTGGCACTGAGCACTGAGCACGGCTCTGGCCACCTGGACAGCACCTGGGAAGTGCTGGGAATTGTGGTGCTGTGGGAAGGAGCTCGGGGCACTCGAGGGCTCTCTCCAGCCTGGGCTGCCTCTGTCCCCCCTGCCCGGGGAACCTTCAGTCCTGGGGTCAGTCCTGGGGTCACTTCTGGGTCACTTCTGGGTCACTTCTGGGTCAGTCCTGGGTCACTCCTGGGGTCAGTTCTGGGTCAGTCCTGGGTCACTTCTGGGTCAGTTCTGGGGTCAGTTCTGGGTCAGTTCTGGGGTCAGTTCTGGGGTCACTCCTGGGGTCAGTCCTGGGTCAGTCCTGGGTCAGTTCTGGGTCAGTCCTGGGTCAGTCCTGGGTCAGTCCTGGGTCAGTTCTGTGCTCCTCAGGACAAGAAGGACATTGAGAGGCTGGAGCATGTCCAGGGCAGGGAACGGAGCTGGGAAGGGGCTGGAGAATCCCTGAGGGAGCTGGGAAGGGGCTCAGCCTGGAGAAAAGGAGGCTCAGGGAGATCATCCAGCCCAGGGTTCAGAGGTCTGGCTCAGTCCATGCCCAGGGCTCGGAGGTTTAGCCCAGTCCATGCCCAGGGCTCGGAGGTCTAGCCCAGTCCATGCCCAGGGCTCGGAGGTTTAGCCCAGTCCATGCCCCTTCAGCCCCTCCCTGGGTCATGGGGCTGCCATCTGGGGCAGGATCTTGCTTTCCTATATTGTCTGTCAAGGAGAGCTCAGCACTCCTGAGACAAATCTCCCTGAAGATCCTTGAGGAAGGACACGGAATATTGCAGGAGCTGTCCGAGAGCTGACTCTGCCCAGTGGATAAGCCAGAGCTGAGGAGGATAAAGCTGTAAAGTGCCAGGTGCTTAACAGAGGGGCTTTATCATCCTCTGGGCTGGGAGTGTTGGCAGAAATATCCAGGAGATGAGCCCCAGAAGGGTGATGGGGTTGATAAGAAGGGGTTTTATCAGGCCTTGTCCATCAGCATTCACACAGGGCTGCAGGCAGGGCAGGAACTAGGAAATGAAATGCTGATTTGTCCTTATTTCAAATTTAAATTA